ATTTTTAGGCTTCAGTTCCCCTTTAAGAAACTAAGCAATTGCCCAGAACTCAAAAGTGCGCTACACCTTTTTGTAACTGTTCTCTTATTATCTCTTTAATCCTCTATACGAAGGTTCCTTCATGGAAACAGAATAAAGCACATCGATGGAAACGCTTTTAATCACCTCAAAAACCTGGGAATGTTGTGAGTTGTTTATCAATTTAAATTATCCAATTTTTACAAAGCTTTGTAAGTTTTTTAAAATGGTGTTTATCATGATGATCTTTAAGCCCACCTGCGCATGGGATACTCGCGCCTGTTTTAGAATGTTGATTTGGCTCTATAATGTTTTGGCTCTTTTATAGGACGCTGTTTGCCAACCCTATAAACTTACTTCAAAGAGACATGTTCACAGGAGTAGCTACCAATGTCCGACTGTAAGTATATGCATAGTTCAGTTTCTACGAGAGCTACATGGTTAATTTAGCGGGCCGCGCAGTACGATAAGATTAAAAGCTGCTTTTATTACTTAATCCCTGACGGTTCCTTTTTATAAATCTCCCGGTCTAATACGTGCGAACACCATAGAACCATTTTCGAATTGACTAGAGTCAGGCTGCTGCTGTCAGCAATTTGAACCTGCGCATCAGGACCAAATCGTTTTTCGTAACCATCAGACACAAAAAAGGACACGATTCCTTAACTTAAAGAGCAGGCTTCGAGGAGAGAGATTAGTTGGAGGCAGATATTGGTGTTGGAGGAAACAAGGCAGTTTTGTCCCAATTCTAAGCTCATCCTAACTTTTAGAATCGTTTAATACCGGAATGCAATTCCATCTCGGAAACTCTTAGTATCGCAATTTCCATGTGTCTGTTACAACAAAAGTTTGCTTTCTGAGGCTCAGCAAAATGGAAACATTTTCTAAAAAAAAGCGATCGCTATTCTGACATACATGCTCGAAACAAGTTTTCCTCTGCAATCAAGTTGCACTGAAGTAATCAAGTCTGCCGAGCTTTATATCCGGCCTTTCAACTAGTTTTCAGTTCCCTGTTTCAATTACTGCGAGTCTCTCTTAGGGGCCGATGGCGCTTTGCGTGAATATGGCTAAATAGGCATCTAAAAATTTTAAATGTTTCAATGATTCTTTTATTGCAGGTTTATTACCTGTAAAAGTCTTCGTACGATCCTCCCAGAGATTCACAACCCTTTAATGTGAGTGATCTATGGCAGTCCAGCAGTCCGGGGTATTCCGGCCCTGCTCATGTTATCGCGTACATTCCTCGTTCGAGGATTTTTTAATAAACGTTTTTGATAAAAGCGCGCCCAGAGCCGTACGGATAAAATGGCGAAATAAAAAAGAAGTTTTAAAGAAAATAACTAATACGCAAATAGAGCTTGCTGCGATGCAAGTACTAGACCTAAATTTTAGGATATTCATTATTGTGCCACTGTCTAATAACTATTTGCTTGAGATAGGTAAAAGTCGAACCAACCTAAGGTTCGACCGTTGTTTGACGTCGGTAACAGGATCTTTTAGATGTCAGATTCATAAAACATATATTTTATGTTTTACATTTTTCTCACCAATGTCTTCCTCCAGTTCTTATGCTCTTTCCTAAATGTCACAATTATATGAAATATGTGAAAAACATACATTTATCACCAACTCTCAGTGGTATTGTTAATGAACCTGTAGTTAACTTATGGTGGAATAAGAATAAATCAAATAATTTATTAATGAAGGTACGGATAAATAGATGAGTGAACTAACATGTCCGACGCATGCCACGCTTGTTTTTTTAATTAAGTTTCATTCTCTATCCTGCCGTTGTTTCTTCTTTAGCGAATGTGCCCCGTCAGCTTCAACGTACGCACTTTGCGGTGATAAGGTGACCTATTCCCTGAGGTATGAACTCTCAGGCTCAGAGTGCAATGTGACCAAGCCCAAGCCATATCTTACATGCTACAACTGCAGTTTTTGTCCAGCAGGCACCTATGGCACACACTTATTTTGTGTAAAGTGTCCCAAAGGTAACCATGCAATTTTCATTCATATGATAACCGAGGACGTTTTGAAATTAAATTTAAATGATCTATGAGTAGAGGGCACCATGCAAGGTTAAGAAAAGTTTGAATTTCGATCTGAATTATGATCAAATGCAAATGTCGTCTTTTTTAGGAGGCTTTTACCAGGATGAAATGGGTCAGACCGAATGTAAGAATTGCAGTACGGGTACTTATGTTCCCGAGAGGTACTTTCCTGGAAAAAGTGCAACTGATTGCTATGCATGCCCGTATGGTAAGAATCTTGGTAGATAATAGTTACCTTTGACCTAGACTGTTATTTGGAATTGTTTATTTTAATTTGAATGGCATCACACTTGCAAATCATTTGAAAAATCATTTGAAAAACCAAAATGATTGCTTCTATGATCCGGGATGATCGATACATAAGATTTTAAAGGAGCGTACGCGTGAATTGTTAAGGACTAATCATTTATCGCCTAGGGGTTTCGGAGGATTTCCGGGGGGATGGAAACACGGTTTTAGTGGGAAACGAGGGGGTCAATCGAGGTAAACCGACTAGAAAGGGGGAAACTAAAGGATATGGACTTCCAATGAAGGGAATTCTAAAAATACTACACACCCTTGCGCGGGAGGGGTGAGGAGGATCAGGTAAATCTTCTTATGACACAGTCAAAATCCTCTGAAAACCCCAAGCGATAAATAATGATTGTGGGGTTTCCTACCGTTTGGTGTTCATGTTTTATCGAACAGAGATAGGATTAATGAAAACAACTCGTAACCAGTTTGAATTCGGTTATTTATTTGTTCTTACGAAGGATAACAGCAAAACTAAAAGTAATTTTCTTTATGTGTTCTCCCGATGAACACTTTTTTATTATCTGAACAAACAGCTTTAAATTACTACAACCATCTATTTGTTGTGGCTAAAGCCTGCTATAGAAGGGGAAGCCACCTGTGTTTTGTGAGCGAGTGAGTGATTGGCTCAGTGAGCGTAACAACGGAGTTTCGATCTTGACCCAATCTTGACCTGATGTTTCCCGTTGCTACTTGCTTTTTGTTTGTTTTAGTTTCTTTTCACAACTCTCAAATCTCAACAGCCTCTTACAGAATGTACAACAGTTTTTATTGTTAAATGATTAAGGAAAATATGTTACTATAGTTGCACATAGTAAAACTTGCTATCAAAAACGGCTCACACAGTCATTAAAATGATTCTTTCTTTCACATTGCTATTAATACAGTTTTAGAAAAACGCTTGCACCACATCACAATCATTATTTGACAGACACGTAAACATTTGTCATTTCATCAAACAGGTACCAGTACTAACGAGTCCGCTGGATATCGTGCATGTAGCTGTCTCAATAATTTCTACCGCTTGGATCGTTTTGGTCCTTGCACCGCTTGTCCAAGTTATGGAATTAACTGTGAGAATGACGCTGCAATATTAGCACCAAATTATTTTTGGAAATGGAGTAGCACTGAAAGAAAGGAAAATTACACGGAATTTGTCCTCAACATTTACACCCACAATGAGAGTTATAACAAAGCCTTTTCCACCTTTGAAGGACCGTTACCAAAGCCTGTAAAGTGCCCCTATCCAGACTCGTGTAAAGGCGGAATTAACTCAACATGCAAAATTGGATACAAGGGTATCCTCTGTGCGACATGTTCCTCCCACTATTATCACCGATTCAACAGCTGTTTACGCTGTCCCAAGATGTTAGTTACAATTATTTCCTGTTGTGTAATAGTTTTGCTCTTTATGCTGCTGTTTGTCATTGTTTTCTGGGGCGACTCACGACGCACAGAAGACAATCGTACTGTCGCAGACGTCGTCATGTCCTGCATCAAGATAGTTATTGGATTTTATCAAGTTCTTGCTGGCATTTTCTCGACGTTGCTGCAAGTCCAGTGGCCAGTAATACTTGTATCTATGACAGAATACTTGAAGTTTGTCGAAGGAAACATTTTGCAGTTCGCCCCACTAAGTTGCATTCACCCTGTTCTCCGCTTGGACCCATTCATTCAATTTGTCCTCGCTATTACTGTAAACGTTTTCGTTATATCTTTCATACTGCTTTACCTCTTGGTAAAGAAGCATCTCATCAATAGGATGGAGAACTCCACGGAAGAAAACTCTTCAGAGGGAATAGAGAACTTTACAGAAGAAGACAAATCAGAAACACTAGAGTATTCCACGGAGGAAATCGCGCCACAGAGAATAGAGAATTGCACAACTTATACGATGCGAAATTCCGAAAAAAAGAAAGTCGCCCAGTTGAAGAAGTCGTGCTACCGAAACATCTTTCTATTCCTGCTGTTGTCCTACCCAATGACGAGCATGAAGATCATAAACATTCTGCCCTTGCCTGGAGTCTGTGTGAAGGTGTGCTTTGCCAACGATGACAACGATTGTAGGACCCTTCTGAAGGCCGACTATTCCATTTGTTGTTTTACTTCCCGACACGCCGACTTTTGGCACATCGCTGCCGGCTTTGCTCTGTATCCCATCGCCTTCCCAATACTGCTGCTGGCGCTAATTTGGAAATATCGAACTGACTCTCAAGAGCACAAACAGATTTCCTTCGGCTTAAAAGTGTTCTATGAAAACTATAAGGACAAGTATTGGTTCTGGGAGATAGCTGAGATGTACCGGAAGCTGATTTTTATTTCAGTCATTCTTCTGTTTGACTCCGAAAGTGATTCTCAAATTGGCTTTGCTGTGATAGCAGCAAGTGCATCGGGAGTTTTGTACACCATCTTTCGACCGATAAAAGACAAGTTTGAAGATCGACTACAAACATTTGTGCTTTGGGTAATATTTTTCAATGTCTGTCTTGGTGCAATTTACTCGCAGCCAACTGTCAAGGACAGCGGTGGAGGAAACAATTCTACCTTTATCAACGTAATGTTCCTGATTCTCAACAGCGCCGTGCTGATCGTGGTAGTTGGTAAGTCCTTTACTCCGGACTTAACCGGACAGATTACTCATTGAATTGAGTATTCAAGAATGTCTTAACTTTGAGTGTGATAACATAAATACCATGTGTAGCTAAAATTTAATTTTTACACGGGTATTGAACAAAAGTGGCCCACGTATGATGCACGATCCTCGCAGTAGAGAGCGCTATTTATACAATAGCGAAAATCAGGTCTGATTTTCGCTATTGCATAAATAGCGCACTCTACTGCGAGGATCGTGCATCATACGTATATATAACCGCAGTTCAAAATATATGAACCTCATATATTCATCGTAACCAAAAGTGGCTCAGTTCTACAAAAACAATAAATAACTTTGGGATTTATCCGTAATTATTCAAAAAGAGTTAAAAAGCTAGGTTTGTTAGGAAGTGACCCAGGTATGACACCTCGAATCATTGTGTTTAGTATGTTCTTGGAGAAGCAAGTTTCTTTTAATGCCTCTTGTAGTGTCTCTTTTTACCCAAATTAGAACAGAAGGGGAAAAGGGAGGTCAAAAACTAGTTTCAAAGAGAAAGTAAACCTACCAAATTGTACTTTGAATTGTTTTGTTTTGTTTTTCAGGAAAAGGTATTCATCATCTGAAAGATGCTTTCCGATGCAAGAGGCACCAGAGCTTGGAAATGATGGAGCCACTGACCTATGAACACTAATGATGAAGAATAAAACCGTCATGACTTAGCCTTTAACGTTTATATACCCGATTAAATGTTCTTCTTGAAAACCTCTTAAGCAATGTAGAATATATATCTTGATGACTTAATCAGTTTAACCGAGTTAGTAGTGTAAGAGGCAAGACCTTATCAGCATATCGATATATGATGATTATTTGAGCTTTTCCAGAGGGAGGAGATAAAAATTGAATTCGTCATCCTAAAAAACATTGAATGAAAGAAACGGTAATAGGAGAGGAAGAATGCATTTCTTTTTGCTTTTCACTATTTTCATTATTTTGCTGTATACCATATAAGCTTCAACTAAATTGCAAACGGACTATAGTTATTGTAAATGGGTAATTTGATATTTTTACCCAACCCTACTTGTTACTATTAAAAGAGGAAAGGCACTCAATCAGATCTTTGTAATATTTGGGCACTTGTAATGTTGCAAATATATTATGGCCTAATCTTGAAAATCGATAGATTCTTTAATGGTATTTATCATATAAGCCCAGCGGGCAAAATGAAGTGAATCCTGTGTTCTGATTGGCTACCCCAGCGGGCAAGATGGGTCTATTTTGCCCGCTACGGATTTCCAACTTGATTCTTCGTAAGGTAAAAGACTTTTTGGAGCGAACCTATAAAGTTTGTACCTCTTGGACAATTTCGGCTATGGATTCGCAAACAGCAGAAGAAGACAGTCAAAACAAAGAAAACCAAAACGACTCTCTTGGGTTTTTGTGTTTTAAGCACAGCTGGCTTACTTTTCCGGCTATCAAAATAGACAACTCATTCTTGATTCTCATCAACCGGATTTCAATTGCCGGAAACCAAAGGAATCTCAACAGCCGACCAGAGGAAATCAAACTATAATCGATGGGTTAAAACCAGCAAACTTCCAGAAGCGCGGGAAAGCATCAGTGATCAAGTCGTAATTGTTTTAGATTTTGAATCTGATTGGCTAAGAAATTAAAGTGAAGCTAGTATTCAGAACGATCTTTATTTTTTATGAAAAGATTGTGTCCCAGAAGGCTGAATCAATCAAGAGTGAGAGTAAGTGGGATCATTATTGTTCCTCCTTCTTACGAATAATAATTACTTTTCACTTTTCCCTTCAGCTGTAAATCTTTTCAAACGGAGAGCAGGTCTAGTTCTCTTCATTACAAGTGGAAAAGTTTCCTACAACTAACGGCCAATTACAGTCAATAGTTTACCCTTCCAGAGATAACACTAATGAAATCTAAACATAGTCGCTCCGACGAAGGGCTAACGCTCGAAACGTCAGCTTTTGTAATCGTTACGGTGGCCAATTTACCACTTCAACTTTGTTGATATATCCAAGTTATTTCATTACTCCCACCGACGCAGCCCCAAACAATTTCTTTCGAAACTATCAGCCTTTATTCAGTTTTATTTTATAAGTTCCTTATCGTTCACCGTTTTCATTTAGTGACCGAAAATGTCCACCGATAAATATCTGTTTGATTTAATGCCATCTGTTAGCATGCTTAATACCTTTTGGGAGCGATTTTATTCCGCTGACTCTCCATACGAAAAAGAATAAATCTGCAATGGGGATTCTCTCATCGTGTTGGATAATTTAAACCGTTTTTTCTCCTCAAAGAGTAGTGCAAGTAGTTTCGAAAATACAGTTTGTATACTGGCCTAAAAATACAGCAGAAAAAAAACATAAATCGCAGCTTGGTTCTCTTTGTCGATCAATTTCTGTATCAATGAACTGATCAATGAAACTGCAAAAACGAGAATCAGCTAACAGTGGACAAAGTAAGCTTCAAACTCTCTTTATGGAGAACAATTCACATTACCAACTCATTTTTCGTAATAACAAAAAGGGGAACATAAGACTCAAAAAGGTATTTATATCTATTGCCATAATTAAAAATCAAATTCAAGAAAAAAAAGAAAATGCATTAATTTGATAATTTTTCATAACCGCTAACGATATCAATTAATGTCTATATGCGGAGAGGCTACTGAGAAACATGCGCATCGATCTGCGTTTGAGTGAAAGATGTTGTTTTATATTTCAGATTTTCTAGAGTGGGAGCACAAGTTTGTTGGCCGTGATTAAGCTAAACCTTTCAACTTATGATTAATTAAAGAAAAGCCGAAGCTCTACTTTCGGTTTATTTTATATTAGGAACCATGCACCATTCTCTTCATGTATCTGTTTATCAATGAGGTGATATTTTAAAGTTTTTAGATTGTAAATATTACGATGACTCAGAATCTCCTCTGAAGATGGCAAGAAGTGACAACACTCAACTTTGTTATCAACACTTCATTGACTCATCTTTGTATTGGAAAACTGGTCTTACAACAAAACGTCTCCCTCAAGGCAAAACCATAAAGCTTGGTCTTCATTGTAGAAACGCACTGAGAAGAGAACTTCTCTCTAGTTTGGAGTGATAACAAGAATGCATCAACAGATAGTCAATAGTTATTTCAGTAATCCCAAATAATTTGAAAATTCAAAGTAAATGTGCTGTTTTGAAGAATCGTAACAACAATAGCGGCGAATATTTAGAATACTGTATGATTTATTCTATCAATAGGATATGGGCTTGACGAATGAGTGATCTGGTAAAGCTAAGTTAAAACAACTAATGTTTGACAAATTGAAGAGGCGGAAGGCATTTGGCTTGACCATATAGCTCATAAAATTTATCTTATAAAATATGATGGTCTTTCTTTGAGATGACTTTTGCAAATATCGTGGGGTAAAATACGTCGACATCTGGAAGACAAAAGATACGATAATATTTTGTTTGCTGAGCATTAAGCCGTCAGCGCACTTCGTTACATGACGATGCTATCAACCTTATGTGAAATGAAAAGAAAATAAATAAAATAGATCTTTATTACAACAGATAATTACCAGGAAACGTGTAACGGTTTAAGCGTTGGAACATTACTTTACGAAACGATCATATTTGAACGGAACGGAACTTCGAGACTTGATATGGTCGAACTTTTCTCATTTTTCTCATTTTTGTAAAAAGGCGTAAGCCTAGCTGTTTTCCAACTGGAAAAACCTCTTTTATACTCAATGCTACTACTACCAGACCAGAGAAAGGAACAATAGCGTTTTCCGCAAGTCTTAGAAGCTTTGGAGGAATACCATCAAGGCCCGTGGACGTATTAACTTTTTCTCGAACTTAATGCGTAGAATCAGTAATCTCTGTGAGTGTTGTCGGCTCATGCATTGTGTTGGCTATCTCCCTGATGGTTTGTTGCCCATTTGTCATTGGTGGTGGGTGCTAATTTGCCAGCTTTTCCCCTATCGTAGAAAAATATGTATTCATTAGGCACGTTAACTCCTTATCTGCAGTGATGCCTTTCACAAACTGACGTCACATGCTTTCAACTTGATCTTGAAGCCTGCACATTAAAACCTTGCTCTTTCACCTGTGCTTGAGAGCATCGATGGCACTTTGTGACTGAAGGCGAAATAAACCTGAGCTTAAAACACACGCCTCCCACGAGGAGCATGAGCAATCAGTTACTTAATACAAGTAAATGCCTGCTTAAAAATGACGATCGATCGATCTGACGAAGCCTTGATATTCCAAAAGTTAGAGTTCAAAGTTCTATTAACGCTGACAAAAAACACCTGATAATTCTACAGAAAAGTTTTAATTCACATTCTTTTTTTCAAGCGCATGCGAGAGGCCATGATTATTAAGTGATTTTGAATGTAGCATCATGGCAACCACGGAGAAAATTGTATCTTGGATTATTATGTAAAGTTTAGTTTATTTACTGGAAAATGTCGTTTAGTGTGGTAAGGCTTTTTTATAACGGATAGGCAACGTCGCAACTGTAGCGGGAAACTAAAATACCGTTTCGACACCAGATCAAGGACAACTTCTAAAAGTAAAGAAACAGATACAAACGTTGCAGTCGAAGCAGAAAGTAAGTAAAGCTTACTGATCTTTTCAGTCTCCACCAAAAGAGCAACCACAAACCGACAAAAGCAAGATTATTAATCATATATTCTTTATGCAAATTTTTTTGTGCTCTTTTTTTTTCACAGTCAGCAAAACTAACCCTTTAAAACAATCCCTCCAGTGACAAGTTCGTGTTAGGCTTTTTGTTGACGAAATGAGCGTTTTAAGTAAAGGAGCAGTACACATAGCACGTTTTAACTTTTAAATCGTACAAAAAAGTACCACGATTTCGTTTAAACCTCGTGTAAATAACCGGCCCTCAGAGTTTAACTGATAAAATCTTAGGAAGCTTGTGGAACCTGGCAGGAAATTTTCCAGTACCTCCCTTTTTTAAATAACTTTCATATTTTTATTTTATTTTCCTGACCCAAAAGTTGGCACAATGTCACTTCAGGAGTCGAAATTGGAAAAAGGGAAGATCGAGTATCAGTTCTACACGTTGCAATTGACAAATAAAAGACGGATGTCGAAAGGTCGCAATCAGTCACTTGGACATAGAAGGATTACAAGTCGAAAATCGCAAATTAGAAGCCCCAAGGTGGAAGTCAGAAAGTTATTCGTACGTGGAGGGAAGTAAAACTCCGAACTCTGAAATCGAATGTTCGAAGTCGAATGTCCGAAATCCGAAGTCTGAAGTCGGAAATTGGAGGTCGGAAGCAGGAAGTCGGAAAGTTAAAGGTTGATGGTCGGAGATAATTAAAGATCGAATGTCTGAGATCCAAAGTCTGAAGTTAGAAGTCGGATAAACTGTTGTAGCACTGATTTGTGGGCCGGTATCAAAATCAACAATAATTTCTTTCATTGCGTCGTCAGATAGCTAATGAGTAAAGGATCATTATGTCCTGAAACCCAAAGTAGAGTCAACAGGAGTCAATTTATAAAAGTTGGCGCAAATGAGAAGTATTTCGGGGATGGGTCGAGGTAAGTATTGTATTTTTTTTATGTTTGATTCATTTCAATTGTTTCTTTTTATTTGTTTATTTAAAAGTTTAAGATTTATTTAACTATTAATCGTTTATTTTTCTGGACTATGTTATACATTTCGTTACTTATCATTTTACTTTTCGACGATCATACGATACTTAATTAAGAAAATGAAGCTTCACAAACTGCTTCCTTGCTGATAATCGGATCATACATAG